TACTTGGGAGGCTGAGGCAAGAGAATTGCTTAAGCCCAAGAGTTTGAGGTTGCTGTGAGCTGTGATGCCACAGCACTCTACTGAGGGCGACATAGTGAGACTCTAAAAAAAAAAAAAGAAAAAAAGAAAGCATCACATTACAAATTAGTCATCACAGTTATTTTGACAATGAGTGTTTTGGGGTTTCTAGGAACCTCAAAATTATAATATGTAGAATGGAAAACTTCCCTTGGGGCTATGACGTTAGGTTGAGTCATCTGAATTCATTGTTTATAAAGGTCAAAAATGGTCAAATATCAACAATCTCATATGGTTCAACTTATTATCTTGGAAACCATTCATGGGTCTCTGCTTAGAAGGCACATACCCATGTTCAGGCTTCTTGAAGAGTGTAAAGGAAGTCACTTCTCTCTATCCACAATTCTTACAGAAAGTCGGAGGTAGCAGATTAAAATCCTTATGTTCATATGAACGCAAGCAAATGTTTCTTTGCTCAGCTATGTTCTTTGGAATTCCATTCCTATCGTGGTTTTAAAATAGGTCCACAAATTCTTTGCTACCTCTCCCTTCAAAAGGTGGAGCTCCCATGCATATAGGCTGGACTTAGTGACTTGCTTCTAATGGATAGAACACGACAGAAGTGATAGTGTGTTACTTCATAGATTAGGTCATAAAAGACATTGTACTTTTTGCCTTGCTGTCTTTTGGGTCACTCACTCTGGTGAAAGTCACCTGCCATGTTGTGAGAAACTGAACCCTCCTGCCTACAGCCAAGGAGGAGGGCAGGCCTTCTGCCAACTGCTGTGTGAGTGAGCCATCTTGGAAGCAGATCTCCCAGTGCTGGTCAGCCTTCAGTGACAGCTGTCTTGGCTCAGGACAGGTTCAGCAAGGTGAAATTCTGGTTCAGAGACTCTCATGGAGCTGTGGCCGGCGCCCTACCCACCGAGCTAAGGGCACCACTGTGTTTCTGATTCTTGAGTGTGAGAAACACTGCCTCAGCTATGGGTGGGTTACCCAGGCCTTAGGTTAAAAACAAAACAAACACTTAGGTACTACATCATATTTAGACTCTTCCCTGGAAGCCTCCCTAACTCCCCACTTTGATGCTAGTTGAATATATACTTTCATCATAAAAACAGAACTGATCACAATGGTTGTTTATAGATGAACACATTTTATCTTTTGTAGATCACCCTTTAAAGGATATAAGTGGTGGAGAATCCCCTCTATTCAACAGGGATTTAAGTGAGACATTGCGAGAAGTTAAATCAGGTAATCATCTAAATAGCATAAACCCAATGTACTTAGAATACTTAAGTATAGATGGCTCCAGAATGTCTCTTTTTCCTTTCATAGTATTTTAACTGACACCTTTATTTATTTATTTTTTGGAGAAAAAGTTTTTCTTACTCTATTGCCCAGGCTAGAGGGCCATGGCATCACCCTCACTCAGGTCAACCTCAAACTCATAGGTTCAAGTGATCCTCTTGCCTCAGCCACAAAGTAGCTGGGACTATTGGTGCCCACCACAATGCCTGGCTAACTCTTCTATTTTTAGTAGAGACGGGGTCTTGCTCTTGCTCAGGCTAATCTTGAAATCCTGAGCTCAAGTGATCCTCCCACTTCAGCCTCCCAGAGTGTTAGGATTACAGGTGTGAGCCACCATGCCAAACCTTACCTGACACCATTAATTTACCCTGAGAACATACGATCTGCAGTTAAAATAATGACTTAAACTAACTCCAGAAATTGGGTCACCCTTTCCAAAAGATGCTACTTTTAAGTTGTTTCTGTACAGCCAGGGTCATTCATAACATGAGCCTCATTTGTCAAGCCCAGCCCAGTGCCTGGGCACTGAGGCTTTGAACAAGCAGAAGGGAGTAAATGCTGAATGTCAACCTAGTTCCTGAAGTGTCTGATGTCATCCTTGTTCAAACCAGAGGCCAGACCTGTTCAGAGTGGGTAGAAACTCACCTGTGCTGGCAACAAGGCCAGTACACCCCCTCTATGCAGCCACCCGCTGTCAAAATTATAGCCGGTTGCCATTTCCTACCACAGAAATCCAAGGCTGTGTTATTCTGCAGAGCCCTGAGAGCTGCTTGATGACCTGCCTCTTGACACAGCACAGATGAAGGCAGGAAGCTGGACATGCTCAATTTTCTCCTCATGACCCAAGAAGGCCCTTGGCCAGCTCTCTCCTGTCTGCATTACTGGCTGTCCTTGGCAGCTCTCCACACGAAACCAGCTGATGCCTGTGGCCATACCCCTGGGCCCCATTTCCCTGATTTCTTCTTCTTTTTTGATCACATCACAAATGGGATGACAGAAGCTTTAGGAGTCCCCATTGTTAGGAGGGATTTCCTTTCTTTGAGATCTAGCCCTTAGGTGGGAGTGCCGGTGCACATGGGTTTGAGAAAAGATTTCTCCAGATAAAGATTAAGACAGAAGAATGGGCGGAAGAGGACCAACACGAGAGAGGGAGTGGAAAAGTGTGCTGGCAGAGAGAATCCAGGACTCGGGCTTTTAATTTAGAAGTTATAAAGGGGGTAAAGAAGTTATTTATGATTGTAGCCAAATTGATTTTAACCCTTACTGAAAAACTATGAGTTAATAATTTTTCTGCCATTTTGCTTTATAACCAGTCATCCTTTCACTCATTAAGATTGCTTTGTACTCCCCAGCTGATGCTCGGGGTGTTCCAAATCCACTCTCAAGATATCTACAAGTCCTTAGAGGGCCATACCAGCTTGAGATCATCTCTGGTGTTGTTTACTTCGTGTTGGTGCAGACGCGAACCCTCCAAACATACACAGATTGTGTGTACAGCAGAAAAGTCTGGAGCCGGGGGAGGGAGTGGCAACCGGGAAGAGATGAGGTAGCTGCCCTGTGAAAGGCTGCAGACCAAAATTTGCCTCCATTGTTCTTAAAAACCCTTGCTTAGGACTTTTCCACCTCCTATCGTGCTCTGCCTCCTCTGTCTCCTGCCTCTGAACACCTCCACTAACTGGTTTGTGAAACCTCCTTTTCAGTTGCTTTATTGCACGCTGTACACTAGAGTCTCATCCCCACCACCTGAGGCCCCTCATCTCATCACCAAACAGCTTAGGAATGTCTTTTCCTTAACCAAAGCCAGTTCCTTCCCCAAGAGATCTTCCAGAACCAGTGGTTAAGATACCACAGTTTTCGTTTCTGCCATGAGCCGAACTAACAGGCTGTCCTTGCTGGTTTGGTCCTGGTTGTGGGTAACTCGGCAGGGATCTCTCCTGGTTCACTCCACCCTCCCTCTTCTTGTTTAGAGGGTCACAGGAATATGCCCTGTGAGCAGCTTCTGCACTTCCTACAGAAGAACATCATCATTGCTGCTGTCGCAGTGGTAGGCATCGTCGCGGCCACAGCGCTGTTGCTGCTGGGGTTGATCAAATACATCAGGAGGAAACGACCCTCGTAAGTGGTTCTTAGCACTAACCTTCCTCCCATGAACTTGCACGCGTCTGAACCAACGTTACCCCCAGAGCTGCTGATCCTAGATTGAGGAGAAGGGCAGGGACCTCTAAGCCTGGTCATGCTCTGGCACCTGACATGCTCCGTGAAAGTGCTCATGACCTGGGATATTGGTTTTCAGGCACAGCCTGGGTGATTCTGATGCACAGCCAGCTTTGGGATCCCTGGTTTGGGGCATGTTGGACTCTCAAGGCCACTGCAGGTTAGGCCAGACCTGTGCCCATATTGAGGGCTACTGAAAGAAGAAAGGTTTAGTCTCTGGATGAAAGGTTGGAAAATAGGAATATGGATATAGAAAAGAGGAAAAATGAAATTCTAGGAGGGCGGGTGGGGGGCGGGGAATGAGGCCGTGGAGGAGAGAGGAGAACAGGGCTGATATCCAGCTTGTTCACACTGGCAGAGTGCACTGCTTGTTAGAGTATTAAAAGCCACTCTCAGGGTGGCGCCAGTGGCTCAAAGGAGTAGGGCACTGGCCCCATATGCCAGCAGTGTCAGGTTCAAACCCAGCCCTGGCCAAAAACTGCAAAAAAAAAAAAAAGAAAGAAAAAGAAAAAGCCACTCCCAGAAGCTCCCACTAACTTCCCTATGATCTTGCAAATGAAGGGTTAACACCTGGCAGAGCAGTGGCCCTCCAGGGCTCTGATGGTCACTGTTAGTTGTGGAATATTACAGTCTTGGATGTTAGTTGTGGAACATTACGCCCTGAATGTGAGGGGCTCCAGCACAGAGGCATTGACCGTGAGCAGGCCCTATGCTGCATCCTTGGTCACACATTCCTGATCACAGAGGGAAGAACGGCTCCCCACAGGCCCCTCAGCTCCTGTCCTGCACTCAGTTTGTCCCTAGAGAAAGGGGATGGAGGTGTCTGAGTGTCTTCTGGAGGGATGAGTGACTTCTGACCCAGGAGTGGCACTGATTTCCCTAAATGTCAAGGTCCCTGGGACTGATAGCCCATTCGGGCCAGCTGCCTCTCCCTGCATCCCCCCTGCTCCTCTGACCAGGGCTCATTTGTCCTACCTGCCACTTTCCCTCTGTGCCCCTTGAGGTACCAAAAGAAACAGGACTGTGGCTCCATCCCGCAGAGGCAAGTCAAAGCTATGTTGGCCTGAGTCCTTGGGAAAGTGGGAGGAGGGGAAAGAGAGTTTCTTGGAGGCTCTGCGCTGTCCAGAGGCAAAGTGCATTTCATAGCCACCACTCCTTCCTGATGGGCCGCAGAATCGTCGCCCCTCAGAAACATCAGCTGCTATCACTGTGCAGCAAGTAGACCGTTGGAATCCCTATGTATTTAGTCGAAAAGTTTGGTTTTTGTTGTGTTTTATTTTAGATCTCCCCCGGCACACATGACGTATAATATTTTTATAATGAATGGAAAGACTTGGTGGAAAGAGTCTGAAGAAACAGATGTCAGAAAATTGATAAAAACCCAGCAGCATCTAACGTCCAGATCTCACGTCTAAGGCAGGTGGCAACGCCAGCCAAACCAGGACTCAAAATTGTCATGCGAGGATATTCGCCATCCAAACACCATGGGCGGGCAATTGGATTTCTGGTTGTGAGATGTATTCTACAAACATGTTTACCTTCCTGTCCCAATCTTGAATGGACCATGGGAAAAATGCTTTATCACAGGATACTTAGAGTAATATGGCACCAACGATCCGAGCAGGAGACTCAGCACATTTCCCTAAAGACAACCTTGACAAACTATGGATTTATTCATTTAATAAAGTATTGATTTGTTGAACAGACACTAATAGAACATGTCATATGTAGACGATGTAAAAGTACTACAAGGGAACCAAAAATGAATCAGGCGTGGATTCTGCCCCGAGCAGGAGCACAGTGTAGGGAGGGGTGAGAATGCGGCCACACTAAACATCTTCTATGGGAGGTGGGAATATAGGGAGTTTTTTTTTTTTTTTTTTTTTTTTTTGAGACAGAGCCTCAAGCTGTCCCCCTGGGTAGAGTGCCATGGCATTACAGCTCACAGCAACCTCCAACTCCTGGGCTCAAGCGAGTCTCCTGCCTCCGCCTCCCAAGTAGCTGGGACCACAGGCGCCCGCCACAACGCCCGGCTATTTTTTGGTTGCAGCCATCATCGTTGTTTGGCGGGTCCGGGCTGGGGATTCGAACCCGACAGCTTAGGTGTACGTGGCTGGCGCCTTAGCCGGTTGAGCTATAGGCGCCGAGCCAATATAGGGAGTATTATACAAGAAGCAGGTAAGAATGATGGAAACTCATCAGAAGGAGAGTTTCCTGCTTCAGTGACCAGGAAAAAGAAATGGGGTAATTGACAGAAGGGGGGGTATTTATAAAGCTATGCTCAGAGTTATGGGAAACTAACAAAGAAGGTGAAGTTCCCTGAGGTGAACAAGAGTGGGAAGCTATTACCATTAAGGGAGGAAGCAGTTGCAAAAGTTTAGAAAAATTGAGAAAGCGCCTCTGACATGCTGTGCAAGTTGTAAGCACTCAACAGGAAAAGATCAGGGAAATAAACAACCTGAACTTGCCTTCTCTCGCCCTTTAATCTCCTACAAATGGCTCCCATTGGACAACCCAAGAGGAAGGTAGAGGGTAAGGGAGTCACTGGAGCCATTCATCAGCCTCCAGGGCACTGAGCAGGTGGAAAGGAATAAGAGTGGTGGAGTGACCACTATTTCCCCCATGTCTCTGAAGGTTCACTGAAAAATCAACTAACACAGCTTGGCGCCTGTGGCTCAAGTGGCTGGGTGCCAGTCACATACACCTAGGGTGGCGGGTTTGAATCCAGCCTGGGCCTGCCAAACAACAATGACGGCTGCTACCAAAAAAATAGTCAGGTGTTGTGGTGGGCTCCTGTGGTCCCAGCTACTTGGGAGGCTGAGGCAGGAGACTCGCTTGACCCCGGGAGTTGGAGGTTGCTGTGAGTTATGATGCCACGGTGCTCTACCCAGGGGGATAGCTTGAGGCTCTGTCTCAAAAAAGAAAAAGAAAAAGAAAAATCAACTAACAAAAGGCAGATTAGTAAAAGAAGTGACATACAAATTTATTAGTGTGCACAGGAAAAAAATCACAAAGTGATGACCCAACATCCCACTGGGGTATGAATTTTATACCCCCTTTCTTAGGGGAAAAGGAGATGGGGAAGGATGGATAATTTTAGGGAAGTAGTAAATGAATCTTAGGGGAATTCAATGGATTGAAGAACACACAATGGCCTGGAACAAAGTCTGTTTGGGCCACAAAGTAGACAATGATTTGTAACAAAACTGTCCAGGCGTGTTGACAGATGTCAGTCTTTCTCCCTGTGATGTGAGCTCAGTTAATGAAAACTCAGGAAAGGGACCACAGGTAATTACTTTCATCTTTGATAGGTCCAGACATTAGGCAGGGTCCAGAGACCCTGGGGCTTCTTCAGTTCAGCGTGTCAGAGCTCCATTTTTGGGGGAGGGAGGTAATTGATTTCTGAGCCTCAGAGAGCAGGTTTAGAAAGGCAAACTGAAAATATCCAGCTCAGTCCATCACTCTTGCCTATCAACAACTACTTGTGTTCTTTTTATGACTGAAAATTCCAAATTCTATATCCTCTTCATGTGACACAAAAAGTCCCATCAGCCACACAGCATTGAAGGATGATGCCATTTCAGTCAAACTCCCACCTGAAACTTTAGGCATTAGCCATTACATTGCTCTTCATATGAGGTACCGGGAGAAAATGGTGAGGGGTGAGTCAACCTGAAACAGCTGCTTCAGTCCCTGCTTCTGTAGCTGGTTACAAGGTTGAAGTTAATACCCACAGTGTCTCTCTTCTATGGCCCATTTTGTGTGACTCTTACTATCTTCCAGCACCTTAGCCACATGGGGTTCATTTTCTGGGGAAATGTTCTAGCCATTCCTGCCTGTAGATCCTTGGTGGACCCATCTTTCTGTGTTACTCCAGCTTCCTGATGACAAGGACTCTTGGATATGGGACCCCTCACAGGCCCTTCATGACTCTGGACTCTAGATGTGGTCTTCCTGACTCTGTTCACAGAACATCAACTTGATTTACCCTTCTTGGACAGGATCAATCATCCCAACCAACACTGTAACCTCTTGCCCCGCCTGAAGGTTCAGTGGGATAAGGGGCTCAAAATGGGTAGGAATAGTTTCAGCTTATACTGTAATGGATCCAAGACTTTGCTCAAGGTGGGAGTGTTCATTCTTTGGGTCTAAGAACCTCTAAACCAACTAAGTTCAGGTTATGGAGTAAGAAGCAAAGTTCTTTCAGAGGTTTTTGGCACTTCAGAAAGAGCAACCATTCTCTCCTGCATTGTGTGGTTCCCAGGCTCATGAACTCTGGCTGTGGAGGAGACAGCATCATACCAGGTGTGACAACTAAATTCACAAACTTGCCACAGCGTGCTTATGTTGGCAGCAGCACTGTACAAACAACTCAGTAAGGTTTCATAACCTTGGTACATTAGTGTCTCACAGCTGTGTTCATGTCAATGTGTGCTGGTGTCTTGCTGAGTGGTATTCATCATTGTTGTTACGTGTTTTTGTGTGCCCTTGTGAGAATGTTGGAGCTTGAATTAGAGCAACCAAGATGCATTAAGTTTCTTGCTAAAGGTGGCAGTAGTGAAAGTGAAATCAGGGACATGTTAATACAAGTTTATGGTGATTATACCACAAAGAAAACAACAGTGTACAAATGGATTAAACATTTTTCTGATGGAGAGAGGCCAGGGTGGCCAATAAGGGGTAGAATTGATGAAAACATTGCAAACATTCATCAATATGTGTACCAAAACCATCAGTTGACTGTGAGAGGCATTGCAGACTAAGTAAAGATTGATAAAGAAACAGGAAAATCTTAACTGTAAATCTTGGCATGGGAAAGGTGTGTGCAGAAATGGTCCTGAAGGTGCTCTGATAAACAACAGCAAAGGAGAGTTGAAGTTTGCTAAGACCTTTTAGAGGGAGAGGTGTTTCGGGCCATGTTATCACTAGTGATGAAACATTGATATACCAATATCACCCTGAAACAAAGTGTCAAAGTGTATACATTGGAAGTCAGCTAATTCTCCATGACCAAAAAAGTCCTATCAGTCCAAATCAAGAGTCAAAATGATGTTACTAACTTTTTTTAATTTTTTTGTATCAGAGGGATAGTTCATTATGAATTTGTACCAACTGGACAGAGAGTTAACCAAATTTACTATTTGGAAGAGCTGAAAAGTCTACGTGAAAAAGCTAGATGAAAATGACATCAACTTGGCCAACAACTCATGGCTCTTTCATCATGACAAAGCACCAGCTCACATAGCACTGTCACTGAGAGAGTTTTAGCCATTAAACAAATAATTGTATTGGAACATTCTCCCTACTCACCTGATCTGGCACCCTGTGATGTCTTTCTTTACCCAAAGATAAAGGAAATATCAAAAAGAAGACATTTTGATGACATTCAGGACATGAAGGGTAAGAGGACAACAGCTCTGATGGTCATTCCAGAAAAAGTCCCAAAATTGCTTCTGAAGGATGAACAAGGTGTTGGTAGCAGTGTATAACTTTCCAAGGGAAGTACTTCAAAGGTGACCATAGTGATATTCAGCAAGGAGGTATGCAGTACTTTTTGTAGGATGAGTTCATGAACTTAATTGTCAGACCTTGCATATTGGCATATGCTATATCCTGAAAGGTGTTGTCTGCTTTCTTACACTATATCTGAACCTTCAGTAGATCATAGATAAAACATTGAGGAATTGGCTTATGCAATTAGGGGGGCTGGTTAGCAAGTGTGACATTCATAGGATGGGCCATCAAGAAGGTCTGGCATCCGTGAGCTTAAGTCCACCAGTGGAATTTCTTCTTGTTTAGGTAAACCTAAGTTCTGTTCTTAAGGCCTTTCAATGGATTGAATCAGGTCTAGGATATCTAGAATATTTTTCCTTACTTAAAGTAAATCGACTGTAGTCTTTAATTATAGCTATAAAATACTTTCACAGTGACACCTAGATTGGGTCTAGGGTCACTATCCTAACTGGGGACGCTATCCTAGCCAAGTTGACCGTAGCAGTCCTCTCCTATCAACTTGGTGTGTGTACGCATTTCCTTAAACCATGCTTAATCTGCACAGGAACACAATCACAAAGCTGTACTTCGGCCTAGTTAGTTGCAACATGATGATACAACTATACTACCCACAACTCAAAATACATTAATACTTTCCCCAGAAGTGGATACAAAGTCCTTGAGCATTTTTATCATTTGATATCCTATAACATGAATTTAATCATAGGATGTGGTAGTACCTAGAGACAACCTAAGAGATCTCCTGTGTTCCACAGTACTCTTCCTTACCTCCACTGTGTAGTAGGAGTCTAATTTCCCCTTGGTAATCAGGATCCATCACCCTGAACAGTACAGCAATTTCCTTCTTTGCCTCTTGATTCAGAGACGTGAGAAGCCCAAACTGGTGGAGTGCCATTCTCAA